AGATATAATGAATCCAAAACAAGATATCGTTTAGTCCTTTCTGGTCCATGAAACTCCGTAGAAACCATATCCTCCCATCCTTCAGTGTCTTCCCAGAGGCAGATACCATCTTTAATGTCCACTGCCCAGGCACCCTCCTAGACAGGGTCCTCAAAGTCAGGCCACAAGTTTGAACAAACAAGCACAGCCAGATGCTCCTCCTCCCGCAGCCCCAGGCTGGGATCTCAAGACCCGCTTTTCACCCAACTGATTGGTTTGAGATGTGATCTTTCTCTTTACCCTGGTGCTTTACTTTTCAACAATACAAGACACAACCACTCCAACAAATAGCAAATCCATACACATGGACACACAAACACATCTGTGGAAAGGACACATTAACAAAAACGGAGAAGTTTCAAAAAGGAGCTAATGAACGCAAGTGAAGAAAGAAACAAGACCGTGCTGGAAGGGAAATGACTTTGACTTGGGAAATGTTAGATCTGAGGTGCCAAAAATATATATCCAGGTGGAGATGTATACGCGACAGAAAAATCTTACATGTGAGTTTATAAGAGAAGTTTCCATCCTGTAGATGGAAGGGAACAAAGCAGATCTGGAAATATATAGAAGAAAGTGTAGAAAGGGGGAGACGTGAGAGGAAGACAGATCCTTGGAAATGCCTCCTTCATACCGAGTTGTGTGGCACAAGACGAAAAAGGAGGGACTGGCAAGAAGGAGACACAAAAAGAAGGTAGTGAGATGAAAGAAGAGGCACATTCGAGAAAGAGGAAGTGGGCCACAGTCTGAAACGCTTTATGATTAAGAAAAGCTGATTGGATTTAAATTTAAAAACACAGCTGCCTTTAGAGAGACAGGATTTAGTACAACGGGGTGAGGGAAAGTCAGAGCAGGGGCTAGGGGTGCTCAGCAAGCAGAGGCGGTTGTCTGTCCTTCCCTCCAGAGGTCTGGCAGGGGGGGAAAGCAGACAGCACATCACCAGATGCTCTGTTTGCACAGAGCTCTGCCGGGTTTGCTCATTGCCGCATCCTCAACGCTCAGACCAGTTCCTGGCATGTAAGAGGTACTCAATAAATATTTGTTCATGGAATGCTCTGCTTATTCAATGAATGCTGTTGTCTGGTTACACAAATGAGTTAGTGAATGAGCACAGTAATGATATTTGAGGAAGTCTGAGACAACAGTCTCTTGTGGCATTTCTGGGAGTCAGGTGTAAATGCTGGAGATAAAGGCTGGAAACAGAGTTCACCTCACTGGGTTCAGTATGGAGTGGGAAGTGATCTTGCCTGGAGTTTGAAGTTCGTCTTTTTGACAGCAGTCTGAAGAAAAAGAGAATCTTTTAGGCCAGACACTGAGTTTGAGGATGAACCCCCTTAAGTAGAAATCTCTCTCTGCCTTAATCATCACGAGATACGGAAAGGAGCTCTTGAGAGGTGGGCCGTTAAGAAGCACATGTCGAGGACTGTGGAGAGCAAGGAATGAGGAATCCAGGCAAGTGCCGGTGAGGCTGTGAAAACCCTTTGCGAAAAGAGGTCGCCTATCTCAGGCTGCTGCCGGTTCTCGTACTCGGTATTAAATCCCTTGGTCCTGGCTCATGCTGAAAGTCTTTGTAAAGCTCCGATCTGGGTATGAGACTATAAAAGGGTTCAGGCCACACGGGGGGACAGGAGGATGGCCAGCACTGTGGTGCCAGCAGCAGTAATAAAGTGGAAGAGCCCCAAGGATCCGTGGTAAGGGGGGGGGCCGCCAAAGACACCCTGAAGGTTCAAGGATTTGTTTCACTAGATGACACGATATTATTCCCTTACAGGGAACATAGGAAAGATGTGTTTTTTTTTTTTTTTTTCCTGTGGCTTCTCATGCTGTTTTTGTTTGATTCAGACAAAGGAGAATTGAACAGCTCTTCAGTCTAAAGGGAGAAAACTGATGGAGAGCAACAGAAAGAAGGTAGGGTTGTAAGAATTGGTGTAATGGAATTAAACAAAGCCCTGGAGGAAAGAGGCAATGAGACCCAAAGGCTAGCTGGGATGGTTCCTTTTTATAAAGCGATATAAAGAAAGATGGAGCGGTACCTGGGGTGGGGGGGAATTCATGTGGTTACGTGTCCGACTCTTGATTTTGGCTCAGGTCATGATCTCGTGGTTCGTGAGTTCAAGCCCTGCAGCAGAGTCCATGCTGCCAGTATGGAGCCTGCTTGGGATTCCCTCCCTCACCCTCTCTCTCTGCCTCTCTCTGCTCTCACATGGCTCATGCTCTCTCTCCCTCTCTCTCTCTCTCTCTCTCTCTCAAAATAAATAAACAAATTAAAAAAAAAGATTGAGAGTAAAGAGATATAAAACAGATGGAAGACACCCTGGTGAGGCCTATCTGGAAGGCAGGGGACAGAGCGAGCGAGGGGGCTTACAGAATGTAGGACATTCTCACAGCTGCTGGGGAAAGGCCACCAGAGAACCCAGTGAATAAGAGGGTTTCTGCAATCTTGAGGGGCTACATCACTGGAGTTTCCAGAAATTCCAATTAGCACGATTTAATACTATTTACAGCAATATTTGGCAAACAGGAAAGGTTCTTTTGCAGTTAGAGATGCAGTCTTACACTTCAGCCAAGTTCAGCTCACCTAATGGATCTGAGTCTCATAATGGGATAAACACACCTCACAGCAAAATCATCTCACAAGTTTAGAAAAGACAGGTTTTAATCAAAGGAATCACAATTAATCCACCCTGCTTATTTTCCTTCAAATGCAGCCAAGTTGTACTATTTCATACCAAGATCCTCAAGGTCTTCCAGATGGAAGAAATCTTAGAAATCATCGAGTCCAACCTCTCACTTACTATGACTTCATTTTTAGAAATCCATGGCAGAAACTATCAGTGCATGCTGGCATCCATGTACTCCTTTACATTTGTCAGCCTCCTCTGGGGTATACCTGAGGCCACATAGCTGAGTTCTGGCCAATGAGACATTGGTGGACGGGATCTAAGTCACTCCCAGGCCCGGCCCTACCTTGGATGGAGGAAGACCAGCCAACTTGCTTTGTATCAAACTTTGTTTGAAAGGTAGCTAAACTTTCACTGTGCTACTCACTGACATTTATGGATGTGTCTGTTTCAACCGCAAGCACTAATTGATTCTCAAGCCTTCTTTCTTTGAATAACCTAGCAACTCAGAGAACTGCCAATCATGCTAGAGAATGAAATCGAGATTATTATCACCCACAGATCCAAAAGATTATAAAGATGGAAGCAGTGATGAAATTCATTTTTTATAATATAGTAGCATCCTGGTTATGTAAAGGTTATTATTTGAGACACAACCTACAAAAGTTAAAGCCCTATGCCTTTGAGAACCAGGAAATAAACAATAGATTTCTTAAAATAACCCAGGCTGAGAGCTAAATAAAGCTTTAGAGGTTCACTCACCAGTTAGCCTTCTAGGCTCTGTGTATTTATTCAAGTTATCTTGGAGTAAATACATCAATCTTGGAAATCTGGTTTATCTCACATCAGATAAGAAATTAGAAATTGGTCTGTTTCTGCTTTGTTTGTTTTGTTTTTGAGATTCCACATATAAATGAAATCATATGGTATCTTTCTCTGTCTGACTTATTTCACTTAGCATAATACCTTCAAGGTTCTTCCATGTAGTCACAAAAGTCAAGATTTCATTCTCTTTATGGCTGAATAATATTCCATTGTGTGTGCGTGCACATGCACAGGTGTGTACCACATCCTCTTTATCCATTCATCTGCTGATGGACACTTATGCTGCTTCCATATCTTGGCTGTTACAAATAACGCTGCAATAAACACAGGGGTACGTATATCTTTTCTATTTAGTGTTTTCATTTTCTTTACCCAGTAGTGGAGTTACTGGATCATATGTTAATTCTATTTCTACTTTTTTCTAGAATTTCTGTCTTTATTGGGTGCACCAACTTAAATTCCCACCCAGAGGGGAGGTGGATGGGGAGATGGGCAAAATGGCTGAAAGGGAATGGGAATACAGCCTTCTAACTGCTGAATGCAGAAGTCCTGAGGCTAAAATGTACCACAAAGGGAATGTCGTCAATGGCTTTGTAATAGTGTTGTACGGTGTCAGATTGTAGCTACACTTGTAAGCATAGCATAATGTACAGAGTTGTCAAATCACTGGTTTGTACACCTGAAACTAGTGTAATGTGCGTCGACTATGCTTCAGTAAGAAGGAAATGACAAGGGAAGGGAAGGGAACAAGGAAATTGGAAGCAATAACGATAGTGTTAGAAGAGGCAAATCGCAGCATTCTGAAGGTGAAGGAGAGATCAAATTCCAAAGGCAGAATTTCCAAAAAGCAAGGTAAAGATTCTCCATTTTGTAAATGAGCCCCACTACCTCTCAGAGTCCTCAACCTGAGCACAACCAGAGGAACTCAAGCCACAAATAAATAGATAAACAAACAAACAAACAAATAAATAAAACCATTTACTGTCCACTAGTCTTTGCAAGCCTCTAAGGAAGGTAGGAAAACGGGTAAGAAAAGTCTGGAAATGGTTACTCAATCAGTTTCAGTGTCTAAAGGCATGCACTTTATTTGAAAAGAAATGTTCTGAGGACCCCTTTATTTCCTTCAGATGCCACACAGCGATGCTCAAAAATACGAGACCTTGCCATTTGCATACTGCTTGAGAATAAGTGCTTCCTCCCAAATCCATGCGGGTGCCCATATCCTGCATGAAGGAAACGGCATGAGTTTTAAGCAAAATCAGGATCCAAACATGTGAAGTAGAAAGGACCTTAGAGATCACACAGGGCAAGCCCCTGACAGCAAAGTTAGGCGCCCAGAAGGCGCCCACTCATCTCACTGTAGAAAAGGACCCGGAGTTCATGCTCCTTTGCTTGTGGAGCCAGGGTACAATCACCTACGTCACAATGTTCCTTCCCTGGACAGACTTAATTTCGACCTCCCTTCCCAGGCCTCCCTGGAATCCAGAGGTTGATCCAGAAACACGACGCACTCACCTGCAAAAAGCAGTGTCCAACTGGGGCATGCTCCGCCAGGGTGGCGTTGTACACCTGCCTCCTGAAGATGGGCTCGTTGTCGTTCACGTCGTCCACGGTGATGCTCACCAGGCAGGTGGCGGAGAGCGGGGGCTCTCCGAGGTCCTGGGCTACCACTCGCAACTCTACTGCCTCCTGGACCTCGCGGTCCAGGCTCCGGATAGTGCTGATCACGCCGCTTTCAGGATCAATAGCGAAGGACGGCCCGCACTCCGCTGCGGGCCGCGCGCCTTCCGGGTTGCAGCCAACGGGCAGGTGGACCAGTGCGTAGCGCAGCCGCGCGTGGTCGGTGCCAGCCTCGTCCGCGTCAGAGGCGCTGACCCGCACCACCGCGGTGCCGGGGGCCGCGGCCTCTGACACCGAGGCCAGGTAACGCTCCCGGCTGAAGAGAGGCGGCTGGTCGTTGAGGTCGGCGATCCGCAGCAGCAGCGTTTCCTCGGTGCTCAGGGGCGGGGCGCCCGCATCCGTGGCGACCAGCCGCAAATCATACAGGTCGCGGCTCTCTCGGTCCAGGGGCCCTTCGACGCAGAGGAAAAATACCCCCGGGGAGCCGCCAGAGCGCAACGCGAAGGCTCCATCCCCTCCCTCCAGGGACAACGAGATGCTTCCGCCCCCGAGTCCCACACCGGGTTCACCGATGGCCCCCTCATCCTGCTCGGGGTCCCCGTCCGCGTCGGACACGGAGACGCGAGCCACATAGTCGCCGAGCGCGGCGCCCTCGGAAACGCGAGCGGCGCCACCCTCGGTGAGGAAGAGCAGGTGAAGGGCGGGCGGGTTGTCATTCACGTCCAGCACCGCGATGGACACGCGCACCGTGGCGACCTCGGGCTCGGCCCCTCCGTCGCGGGCCTCGACTACCAGCTGGTGCCAGGTCTGTGCCTCGCGGTCCAGCGGTTTCTGTAGGCGCACCACGCCGCTCAGCTCCTCCACGGCGAAGTAGGCCGCATCGCCCCCCGGCCCGGGCGCCTGCCGGGCGCGGAGGCCGTAGTGCACTTGGCCATTGGGCCCCAGGTCACGGTCGGTGGCGCGAACGCGACAGACCTCGGCCCCCGGCCGAGCGTCCTCGCGCACGGCGGCGCGGTACTCGCTCTGCTCGAAGACCGGGGGATTGTCGTTCTCGTCCAGCACGCGCAGCTCCACGCGCAGGCGGCCCGCGCGCCGCGGGCGCCCGCCGTCCCACGCCTCGATCTGCAGCTCGTGCGCCGCCGCCGTCTCTCGGTCCAAGCGCCGCAACAGCACCAGGTCCAGGGGCTCCAGGGGCGACGCCGACGACGGTGGTGACCCCGGAGTGCCGTAGCGTAACTGGAAAAACGGCCCTGCGGGGTCCTCACGGAGGTCGGACGGCTGCACCAGGGTGTAGCCCTGTGTGCTGAACAGGCCGGCGTCGGGGTCGTGGGCACCCGGCAGGCGGAAGGCGGTACCTGGAGGGCTGAGCTCCGAGACGTCGAGTTGCAGGGAGTCGCGGGGAAAGCTGGGGGAGTGATCGTTCACGTCGTTGACGAGGATCTCCACCTGCACCACGGCGCCCAGCAGCGTGGCGGCCACAAAGCTGTAGCGGTCCCGCCGCTCGCGGTCCAGGCACCGCGCCGTGCGGATGATGCCGGTGTCCGGATGCACGTGGAAGTCGTCCAACAGTGGTGAGTCATCGGAGTCCTCGGATAGGAAGAAGCCGCCCGCCTCCTGCTGCTGCGCAGCGGGCAGCCCCGCGCGGATGTCACCTACCAGAGTCTCCGGAGGAAGCCCCTCGTCCACGGAAAGGCTGAGGTTGAACACCTGGGCAGAGGACCCCGAAGCCGCCCACAGCCACGCGTGCAGGAAGAGCCCGACCAGGAGGCGCTGAGCCCGCGCGGCGGCGCCGCCGCCCGGCAGCCGGCGGGGCGACCCTCTCCTCCCGGGCATCGGAAGGCGCCTCCCGGCCGGAGCCCCCTGCTCCGGGTGCCCTTCGCCCATCCTCCTCCCAGAAGGGCTCATTCCTCCGCCAGCTCCTGGGGAAGGCTCCCGGGTAACTGCCAGCTTGGCGAGGGGTGGCAGAAAAATCCAGGAGCCTCTTCAGTGTCTGGGCGAAAGAAGAAAAGACTGTTTGGCAAACCAACAGACCCAGGAGTTCCCGAGGTTCAGTCTGCAACTGGTGGAAACGTCCTCCGCCTGCCGCTCACGCAGACAGGGAGGCTCTAGCTGCCGCTGCCGCTGCAGTCACCTCTTCAGCCCCTGGCTTGCTTTCAATGAGTCTCATCTCTTTCTCTCTCTCCTTTTATTCCTTTTACATCTGTTCCTTGTTCTGCTCGGCTTGTTGTTTCCCCCTGGTAAAGTCAGGTGCATGATTTCTTTTGCCAAAAAGGATGAATTTATTTAAAGCGCACACACAGAAGGAGAGGGTGGGGGGTCGGCCCGGGGAAGGGGGTGGAGTAAGGGCGGGGAGGCCGAGGGCGCGCGCCCAGCCCGAGCCGAGGAGGAAAGAGGGGAGGGAGAGGCGGCCCTGGCTGCGGCCGAGTCGGCGGCTCCGGGGGTGGCCTCTCCCCGCGGCGTCTCGGGGCGCCCGGGACCGCCCGGCTCCAGCGCCGCCCCAGCCGCCGCCGCCCCTCCCCCCCCCTCCTCTCCGCCCGTGACGCGGCGCACACGAGGGCAAACTCCGACCTGCGAGTCGCCGCTCTGCAGCAGGGCGCGTTCTCGCCGGGGCCAGGGAGCGGGGAGAGACGGGCGGAGCGGGAAGGACGCGGAGATGCGGCCCGGGAGGCCGGCGGGGGTCGCGCGGGCGGACCGTCTGCGCTCGCTTTGCGTGCAGAGGGGCCGTGGGTGGGGAACGGCGAGTGGAGCAGCCCCTCCGCGCCCTCCTCCCTGCAGCCCCTGGACGGTTCCTTCGGCAGGCCTGACGCTTGGCTCAGGCTGAGCGGAGGGTGGGGGTTAGAATCACTTTGGGGAGCCAAACTTGTGCTCTCCATTTGGCGAGAGAGACTCGTCCCCAGCGGAAGGACAGATGGAGTCAAAGGCCGACGCGCAGCTGGGGCCAGGATGACTGCAAACGAGGGGAAGGCGGAACTTGGAAAAACCTTCGCGAAACCCCGAGAAATCTGTGGCACACATGGTGCAAACCACGCTTTATTATGCCGCGCTACTACTCAGCGACGCGCGAGCGTCCTGTCACTCCCCTCTGCCACCAAGAATGACAATAGATTCGGCTTGTGAACACTTTTGTATGCATTCAGCGCCATCACAACACTTCCAGGATGTTTTAGGATGCTGATTTATGGGCAGAAAGATGGGGTAGCTCAGGCCGGACCACCTTCCAGCACCTCACCATCGCCTCTGAGCAAGGAAGTTTGCAGCCAGGGCCACTATTGATAACGCTTCAAAACAGCTTCTGTCTGAGCCCAAGAAAAATGCCAATTAATTGCCAGTCGCAGGTTTTGCAGCAATTATCCGTAATGATAGGTAGAAATTGATAAATGGCCTCTAATAAAGAATGCCTGAGGAGGGACTCTCTGCCTTCTTGAGAATGGCTGGTCACATTTAGCAAATGGTTTCTGCAATTTTGCATTTAAGCCGAAGGGAAGAATTAATTTCCTAGATACCGTTACTCTCCTTTAAGGAGAACCAAGAGCTGTGCGGGGTGGTTCCTGCCAGCAACAGTAAAATGCCTTTTTAATATATGATGGAGTTATATATAACTGCTAATCTACCCCATTATCTCTACCTCTGACAAAATAATAATAAAACTATTTTACAGCAGATATGTTGCATGTAAATGGAGACGTTCTTAAAATAAATCCAGCTGCCTTTCACCGATGAAGTCTCCTTACCAGTTCACCTCAACCTCTGCAATCTTGAACTAGTCCCCTGGCCTCCACTCTTGCCAAGTGTAATTCTCAGCCAAGCCTCTGAATTGTTTGTTTACAGATTTTTTTTAATGTTTATTTATTTTTGAGAGAGAGAGAGAGGAGAGAGAGAATTCTGGCAGGCTTCGCACTGTCAGCGCAGAGCCTGGGTGTGGGGCTGGAGCTCTTGAACTGTGAGGTCATTACCTGAACAGAAATCAAGAGTTGGATGCTTTACTGACTGAGCCACCCAGGCGCCCCTGGCTTCTTGCTTTTAAAGCTACTCCAAATCATGTCTCCCCTGCTCAGAACCTGCCAATATATTTCCATCATACTTGGAATATAATTCAGACTCCTTCCAATTGTATAAAACTAACCTTTCTCACCTTTCCCACCTCATCTCATCTCCTACCACGCCACTGTGGATCCACTTGTACTGCCTTCTTTCTGATCTTGGAATTTGTTACAGACACTGTTTGTGTCTCCCTGAAAACTCCATCACACCCCATGTGATGGTATTAGGAGGTGGGGTCTTTGGGAGGTGACTAGGATTAAATGTGGTCATGGGATTAGTGTCACAGGAGTCATGAGAGAGCTTGCCGCCCTCTGTTCTCTGCCTTGTGAGGACACAAGAGGCGAGAAGTCCACAGCCAGAAAGAGGACCCTCCCCAGAACCTGACCAGGCTGATACCCCAGTCTCAGACTTCCAGCTTCCAGAAGAGTGAGAAATTAATGTCTGCTCTTTATAAGCAACCCAGTGTGTGGTACTTTCTCACAGCAGTGTGAACAGACTAAGACAGTGCATTTGAATTGTTAGAAACTTTCTGTGCCTGGGAATTAATTCTTCTACTTTGTGAAGACTTGGCTCTTCCCCATTCAGGTCTTAATTCAAAGGCCAACTGTTTGGATCCCTCCCTTGACCACCCTACTCAATAGTTTCTCCACCATTAACCCTGTATCCTCGTATTGTGTTGCAGTCACAGCACCTACCGGCACCTGACATTGGTTCGTTTTATAAATTTGTTTATTAGTTGACTGTGACCCCAACCTTCTTCATGAACTTTAAGCATTGCTTTCTCCCAAAACCCAGATCAGTACCTGACACATAAATGGGTCTGCATTCACTACACACATGTTAGATGACTGGATGGATGGTTGGTTTAGCTGATGGGTAGATGGAGGGACAAATCCAGTAAAGGAGGTGTTGGGAACCATAGTTTAGAATTAACTGACCATGAAATCCTTTATTGTAATGAATTCTATCTTCACAACTTACTCCTTTTAATCATACCACGGGGCTTCTTGAATTAATTTTTGAACTTCGACTTATTTTGCAAAGTGTATCGTTACCAAATATTTACTTGAGTCTAAAAATAAAGGAAAAGCCGCTAGTTATTTTGCATCTTTCACTGACATTTTTTTGTAAACAGTGGTTTGGTTTTGAAACAAATGAAAATTCAGAAACTTCAAACATCTATTTTCCCATTAGTTTTTAGGCTTTATAATTCAAGCATATGCAATTCAAGGTCCCCTGCCCACTTCACCATACACTTCATTGAATGCCCTGAGCAGCACTCTAGACTGAGAATTAAGTTTGGAGGAGGGAAGCATTTCTCAAATATGCAAAAAAAGTAACTTTAGATTCTAGCACAGAAGTCAATAGCCTGCAAGAAATAGGTCAAGGTCTGACTCTGAGAGAAGCATCATGGTATAACTAGCAAGAGTTTGGGCTTTGAAGTTAGGAGACCCCGGTTCTGCTCTATAATTGTAGGCAAATTATTTCACCCTTGTTAAGTCTCTGTTTCCTGCTCTCTAAGTTGAGGGTTATACTATCTGATTTACCGGATGTTATGAGTATTAAGTGAGACAATGTATGGACTAGCACATACATCAGCAAAGGCAGCAGCAAACATCATGTCTCTTGCCCCTGTTGTTTGTGTGATTAAATATTTTAAGGGTGGAGTGTTTTGGGATTCTTAGTCATGTCAAAGTCTGGCTTCTTAACCCCATTGAGTGTGTGGAGAGGGAGATGAAAACTTCCTAGTATCACAGACAGCAGCCATCATGGGCAGAAAAGCCCAAAGCAGATCTTTGCCCAGCGTTACATGGTGTAAGTAGTACAGAAAGTTCATCATCAAAAAACATTTTCTCCCAGACTGTAGATAGTCCTTAGTTTCATAATAGTTCATTTAAATGGTCTAAGTAGTTACTAAGTGCTCAAAACAGTGTTCAAAGCATCCCACATCAACCCTTTAGGGAAGGAATTATAATTATTATCCCATGTTACAGATGAAGAAACTGAGGTTCAGGGGCATTGCAAGTAACTTGGCCAGGGTCACATCGGTGTAAGTGGAGGAACTGGAATTTGAGCTCAGTTTTGCTTCAGTGTCCATGGTCTTTGGAGCTCTTCACTGGTCATTTATCTTCTGTGTGATTTTCTGCTTAAGGCAAACTGTCTTGCCTCTAAACTGCAGAAGGCAGAACTCAGCAGCATGTTTGCGTGAATGGCAGGATGGCACAGGACAATAACCACAGGAAGTCACTACTAGAGAATGCAGAAAAAAAAAAAAACTATTTAGAAAAGTTTCCTAAAGCCAAGTGAGGAGGAGGATCCTGTGGAATGTGGAGGGTTTCTTCCCATCTCTTCTCCCAGAAGAAAGACCCTCTGAGGTTAGGAAAGACACCTTTACAGCAGGAAGTACCCCTGCAATTTTTGGCTCATATGTTATCTCTCTAAAAAGATGAGCTAAAGAGTGTTTAGAACTTGTGATGGTTACAGTCTATGTATCAACATGGCTAGGTTATGGTACCAAGCTTGATAGGTACTACCTAGTACTAGTCTAAATGCTATTGTAAATACAATTAACATCTATGATGAGTTAACTTTAAGTGAATGAGATTGTGCTTGATAATGTGATGGGCCTAACATAATCGACTGAAGGATCTAAGGGCAAACTGAGGTTTCCCACAAAAGAAGGAATTGTGCTTCAAGACTGTAACATAGAGGGGCGCCTGGGTGGCTCAGTCGGATGAGCATCTGACTTTGGCTCAGGTCATGATCTCATGGCTCATATGTTCAAACCCCACGTCAGGCTCTATTCAGACAGCTCAGAGCCTAGAGCCTACTTTGGATTCTGTGTGTGTCTCTCTGTGCCCTCCCTCACTCACCTTCTGTCTCCTCTCTCTCTCTCTCTCTCTCTGTCTC